CGTTTAGTCGATCGTACTCTATTCAATATGATATAAACTATAGGTAATATTCAATATTTTCTATCGAGCCTTGTATTCGATAATAAGATCGTAAAACAGGGGATCAATGATCGTTCACTCATCATGATTTAATTCAAATTTACGGAGAATAATTCAAATAGAAGAAAATATATCCAAATTTAATTTAAAAAAATTCAGTTTAACAAATTTTAACAAAATATTTCAATGATGCAAAGTCACGAACAAGCAATTTTGATTTCAAGTTCTTTCATGGTCGTTCTGTGTTGAACTTTTATATTGCCATACATTCATTAAAATTTATATTGATTGAGTTTTAGAATCAGTTTTATTCGAAGCAGCAAAATATTGAACGACCACTGACTTGCATCCAATGTTGAATGAAGCACGAAATTCACACGGAATCGAAATAAATTTAATTATAACTTCGCTTCGAAAATTGCGTCGTCATTATGTTTCTGCTTTTGAAAACAAATAAACTGAACTTTCTGTGAAAATCTTGTTATCGAAAGTATTATACGTAGATATTCAATTCAAATATGCAAATGAATTTGATTCTTTCCACAATGCGCTTATGATGTTCCTCCTAACCGATGTTAAATGCATCTTGTAATTATATTGTTTTGAATGATATAATTGATTAAAAACCGCGTAGTTATTTTAATTTCATTTTTTATTTTTATTATTAATGATAGAAGAAAAATATTTTTATTAAATTAATTTTCTCACGTTTGACGGAATATTTTTTATCACAAATAAAACACATCACTTTTATTTCACATTTATTTGCTTTGTCGCAATAACAACTAAATAAAGTTAAAATAATTCACATTTACTTTCATTTACTTTTACATATCTTGTATTTGTCATATTTCAATCATAAATATGAAAATAATAAATACGAGCTACAATATTAAATATACGAATTAAAAATGTGAAAAGCACATCGTTTATGTATTATTACGAAATAATTAATTTGTTATTTTTCTCTCAAACGAAAAAATTCTATAAATCTTTCTCTGTCGAACAATAAAAATTGTATATCTGTAAAATATTAGAACGATTCTTAAAAGTTTTTAAAAAATATTTAACGTTTTCTTAGGATATAAATTCGGCTCTCTATTAAATCAACAGATAAAGCTTTGGGATTGAAGATTGAAATTTTCGTATATCTTCTTAAAACTTGATGTTTAATGAAAATTTTTTATTTCGTGTGATTGATATCTCGAAATTCAGTTATTCATGGATTTTCTAACAAATAATGAATTGCGTTTATGGATTGAATATATCCGATAGATGTTTGCTAATTTGTTTTGAAAGATATAAATGATCACGTTCGAATAATGATTTATTATTAGGGAATAAAGAAATTGAATAAAAGAAGGTATGAAGATTGAATTAAAATTAATTTTTAATCATAGTAATTAATCAAATTTTTTAGAATTTTCTAATTCTAGTTTCAAACAAATAATGAAACGAAAATTCAATCACCTTATATTTGTGTAAAATTTGCTTATTTGATTATTTGATACATTTTCAGATGTAATCAGATTTTCTTTATTCATTAATAAGATACATATAGGCAGAAACACATTTTCATTTAAATTGTCTGTTAAATAGTAATATCAGTTTAATTAACGCTACATGGCGAAAATGGCCTTGTGGTTTGTTTAGCATAATACAAGGAGCAAAATGTTTTCGATGCGCGTGTCATTACCAGCTCATTCTATGCGCGCCATCGATCCAAATAAAATTCATTATAATTACTTTCCTTTTATATAATATCCAGGAACTTTTTAAAATCGAAGCTTTCAACAAAATCTCTTTAAAATAGTATCCTTGAAATTTCAATTTTCCTTTGAAATATATGTTCTATTTCAAAGGCGTTTGTTTCATCTGTAATTCATTATTGACAGTACCGAATAATGTGTTTAATACTGAAAAATGTATAATTTGAATAATTTTATATTTAATATTTGTAAGTTTGATAAAATTTTATATTAAAAAAAATTGGCAATATTGAAATATACATATTGACAGTATTCTGATTTTGGACATGTTCATAATTAAAATTGAAAGAAGGTAGAAGAAATGTTATAATAGGAGATTTGCTGTAACAAAAATTTAAAATTTTAATTGAAATTGCATTGGTAGATAAAGAAAGTAAATATCAATTCGCAATTTCAATTTCATAGAGGTTTAGGTAGAAGATGCAGAGAAGTACTTTTATGTGCAAAAAACGTCTCCAGAAGAGTGCAGAAGGTTAGTTTTAAAGTGGAGGTGAAGTGGCCGTCTCAAGAGTCAACATTCAGTAGACAGAATGTTTGGAAGCCATTTTATTCGTATGTATGTAATGTATATGATCCTTATATTAAATTTCAATGAATATAAATTGAAATTTTCTAAGTTTTTTCTTTCAATATTATTTACATATTTATTATCTTAATCTGTATAATAGAAATATGTAATTAATTTGAAAAAATATAAGCAAAGTTAAATAAATTTAAATTCTAGGAAAGAATATCAAAATTAAATATAAATTAAAGATTTTGTATATTTAATTTTGAGATTTGGTTATATAATCGAAACTTTAATTAATTAATATTAATTAATAAAAAATTTTTCATTTAAAATTAATGAACTTTTATATTATCTCTTCTTATTTATGCACTTATTAAATTCAATGTCATAGATTTATTTAAAACAATCATTTAATCCACTTCATATTCATATTTAATTTATTTTCATTATGTTCAATATGTATCTATGTAATAATTATTTATTTTTTAATCTAAAAATCTTTTTATTATAAGCTTATATTGTTTTCTATTTAATAATAATATTAAATAATAATATTAATTTTTTAAAATAAGATTATATGTTAAATTTATGTTATGAAATGAAACAATTCGATCCTTAAGGGACTGAATCGATATTTTTATAAAATATAAATCAAGTCTATTTAGAAATCTCTTAAAAATATTTCTTATCAGTGACTGCATTTTTTTTAATTTTGTAGTGTGAAAGGATTCCATATTAAAGATTATCGATTTTTGGTGTTAGTTTAAGTTTAAAGGTCGTTTCAAAAGGGATTACTATTTAAAAGAACTCTCAAACGAAATATTTTTAACTCTAACATGTAAAATTATATTAATACTTAATTTTTATCAAAATATAAAAATAAATATTTTAAATATATATATATATATATATATATAATAAAATATTTTAAATAAGACAAACAAAGTCTGTAATATATTCTAATAAAATCAAGTTACAAAACAAATATAATAATAATAACAAAATCATATTATAAAATATAATATTTGTTTCAACTTTTCTTTTTTCTTTCTTTTTTGTTTAAAAGAACATAACTTAAAATATTTTCAGGCAACAGTGCACCTATTTCTAGTTTCTTTTAGATTTTTTAATTCCTTTTAAAAGTTTTAGGTATCTTTACAAATTTTATTAAATGATTAGTGAAGATAAAAAAAACTAATTTGAAACAAAATGAGTTCACGAGGATAATTATAATTAATTTAAAACGAAATGGACTGTTTGATACAAAAAATAACACTTAGACTAATTAGATATTTAATCCATGTAAGCTACATTTGAATATCAAAAACTTCAACTATTAATTTGCTATACGTTTTATAAATAGTGTTTAAATTTCATTTACTAATTGCGGAAAGTAATAGCGTGATCTCATTTTGTGGCATGACAATTTTTTCCTAGTTTTAAAACTAATGAAATTATTAATTGATTACAATGGATAAAAAGTTTTTTCTTTTATCTTATTGTATAGTTCAAGTTAAAAAATTATATCTATTATTCGTGAAAAACTTGCAAATATATCACGAATATGAAAAAAAAAATCGTATTTGCATGATAACAATATGTTAGATTTTTAAGATAATTTTAATATCGGTAACCTTATCAATCTTCAGATATATATCACGTAATGAAATTCTGAAAATATAATGAGAATATTTTTCTAAAGAATTTCTCAGGAAATACATAGAAAAATGAATATAATAAATGTATAAAAAATTATTCTCAAAAAAATTGAGAATGTTTGTTTCTCACAAATATAAATATATATTAAATTTTCAAGAATTGTGTAATTAATTTCATAATACATATATTTCAACCATTGCTAGTTAGAAATTTACCTATAACTTCCTAATAACTAGTATCAAATGCAATGCGATAGCATTGTAATTTGAGCACAATTGATTGAACTGCAGGCCTAATTTGTAATCCATAGACATCTAGCACGAATCGATACCTCTTTCACCAACCTTCCACTATACGACCTGTTGTTTTCACATTGGTCGTTTGGTCAATCAATTAGAGTGATTATCATGACCTTTCTTTATTCAAGAAATCCTTGGAATTATGCTTAAATCTAATTAATCATTATTCACTTACTATTATTAAAAATAATCTCATAATTCTTTCGAAACTTTTACAATATCTTGTATATGAAATTATTTTTGTTATTTTTATCTATTCTGCTAGTTGTTTCAAAAGGTACAAATAGCATTGTTTGATTTTTAAATTATTAAGTTTTCTAAATATATCCGTTTTTAAATCTTTTTTTCTCTTATTATTAAATATTCCATTTTGATCTTTAAAAATCTTTAAAAATAATGAAATTAAAAATAACACGAGATAAACATTATTATAATCGTAATTCGTAATTCCTTATTTTTAAATTATAGATTCCCTATTTTTATTTGCAAATTATGTTTTATTATCATTTATTATTATCCTATAAAATAATACGTATAATAATGCTATTTTCGTTTTCTTTGAATTATTTATACAAATGTAATCGATATGCAATATTATTAAATAAAATTAAAATGAAATAAATATATTGTTAAAAGTTGTGGATAATAATAATTTGAAGAATCATATATGTAATAATATTAATTATTACATTAATAATAATTTACATGTTTATTGAATTGCAGTTGCATCTCCGCCGGATCGAAGAGCCACAAGAGACGATATTGCAGTGTCCTCACCCGGTGCATCTCCGAACGTTAATGCAACTACGAGCTGCACTGGTACAACATCGTCTCGATTGCACAATCCTTCCTCGCCAGGTCGAAATGGCCAGCTATCGAGTAAGTGACTTGATAACGCAATTGTTGTACATTATTACGACCCTCGTGCAATTACACGCCTTATAGAATTATGCATATACATTAAAGTGATTAAATAATGTACATTTCCAGGTCATTTATATTCATGATGAGTATACAAAATTTCAATCTATATATTATACAAAATTTTATCAAATTTTTTGTAAATTTTATAGTAATCTCTAAATCATAAAACGGAAATTTAATTATAATTTTATATTATGCCATTCTAACGTTAGATATAAATAATGTGTTGAATCTAGTTCTTCGAAATTTAGATAATTTAATTAATGATTCATTAATGAGGCATAAAATTTTGTATATTATTATATATTATAAATTCTGGATTAAACGGAATACTGTTTAATACATTCGAGTTTCTCGTGTTTCAGAACAAGGTACATTAACGATAGTACGCCGGAGTTCTGGCAAGAATAAGAGCATTGGCGGAAGTTTCGAAAGTTCTCCGCCCCCGCATAGTCCTGACACTCTTTCGTCAAGTCAATCCGTGGATCTCGATGAGATCCTTGATAATGTCGATTTAACGACAGATTCGCTTCCTGCCGTTGACACCCCTGACGCTTGCGACAAAGCTGCTCTCAGGTATGGCATTCAGAAAAATTATATTTTTCTTTGTATTAATATTCTTCTATATCCATTTTGAAATAACACATTCTGCATGATCATTTGATAATTATTGATTTTAAATGAAATCATATCTTTGGAAATCTCTAATAAAATTAAAATTAATATTTTTTTAATGATCATATCATTTATAGAAATACGATAAAAATATAATATATTTTTTTAATATTATTAATCATAATTTTTAACTTTTGTAATAAAACAAATATGAAATATTTGTTCCAGATTGAGATGTTTACTGAGACAGCTTCAACATGGCGAAATATCAGCAGAATTACTTCAACGAAATTTGCACTACGCGGCACGTGTACTCGAAGCTGTCTTCCTCGATGAAACCAAGTAAGTTTCGTTCAAAATATTAATTAATAATCTTTTCTGCAAATGCCATCTTTAATAATATTGTGACAGTTGTTTCTATTATAGTTATATCCAGACAGTGACTTCTTCGAGAAGATATATATATGTATATATATATATATATATGTACATTGTATTGTTACAGTTTTTTAATCTTAAATTGCATCTATATCCTAAGAATATATTCATAATCAAACTATATTTTAAATTCTAGGCAATACAACTAATTGATCATTTAGAAATTTATTCGTTACTATTTATTATAATCATCGTTTATTAATATTTTTATTAATATCTAGTGACTATATTTTAATGAATATTTTCTATAATATTTGACATTTTGTATGACTCACGACCCTTGAAAATACGAAGAAATAACGAAAGTAATAAATTACATTTTTTAACATATATTTATGATATATTATATTTCTATAAAATATATATTATTCGAGATAGTGAAAATAATAAATTACATGTATGTACACATCAATTTTATAACAAAAATATCAAATTTTAATATTACCATCAATTTAAGCATTAAGGATACCAAGAGCGCCTCTTTAGCTCAGTGGTAGAGCACTGGTCTCGTAAACCAGGGGTCGTGAGTTCAATCCTCACAGGAGGCAATCAATTTTTTTTTCTTTTTATATATCGTAATTTTTTGAATATTTATCAATGAACAATTTATTATTTTTAACAATTGTTTTAATAATTCTTTCTATAAATTAATCATTGTTTGCGAGATATCTTTATCATATTTTCCCATAAATTTATATTCTATATTTTTAATATTTCAAATTGTTTTTTTTTTTTAACGATAATATTTACTTCGTATTCAATTTTATTTAAGTATATAAGTTATTTATATATTTGTTGTTCCTTATGTTAAAAAAATAAAAAGTTAATATATTTTCGATGCTTCTTTTTCTTTCTTTTTTTCTTTCTTCCTCATATTTCGTTTAAATATCGAAATTAATAAAACTGTAACATATTAGGTCAAAAAGATCAATTCAACTTCAAGATTGCTTTTCACCGTTTTCGAATAACGAGCCTGTTCCTGACATCATGAACATTTTTAAAAAGAATAATAATAATAAAACTTCGTGAAAAATTACGAAACCACAATACAACAAATAAAATCTTTTTCTATGCAATAAATTTTCCATAAAATTATCCTTAAGTTATTACGATAAACTTTGGATATTAACTCTAACAGATATATACTGTATTTATATTCAACCCGTAATGGAGCCATGATTATCCACGATCTATATTTCAACGTTCCTTATTTCTCTAAATACGTCCATATTTCTGAATTAACATATTCCAGCAGCATCGACCAACGAGAGGTAACCTCGAAGATCCTCTCTACTCGTATCTACATAAATCTGCAATAATTAGAATTTCGTTATAACCTTTAACCCATAATCTTTCCAGAGTTTATATCAACGCAACTACGAGACATACCCCTTAATGATGAAATAATTATTTCTCAGAAACAGGTATCCCAAAGGATAGCAGCATCGATTCTATATCTAGTCAGCCTATGAATCCCTCCCCGTATGGCGGCGCTGTAATGCTAATGATTATAAATAAAGAAAAAAAAAACAAAGAAACAAACAAAAGTGTAATATTCTACTGTTCTGTTCCCTACTTGACACGTGCACTAACAAGCAGTATCGCAGGGTGAATTCAGGAGGGGTTGAGTGCTCTCGGTCATCGCGTAGGGGTACGGGCCTGTCATCTGCATCCCTTGGGAGCGCCTTGGACTCGGATGGACAACAGGGCCACGCGGTGGTAACCCAGAAACGGAAGCTTCGCACCCCCGTATGGGCAAGGTTGCGAAATATTCACATTTCCGACCTCACACGACTGTTCACCACCCCCTTACCACGACCTACCAGATATCCAAGACAACCTATCACCCTAGATATCGGCAATATCCCTTTCACGTGTTGACATCTTTTTCTCTCGACCTCATCGAGCTCGTTATTAAGGGTCACGATCATGCGTCGTTTTGCTCGATCATTAGCATCTATAGGGGGAACCGAACTGAATTTCGGATCGATCGACCGGGTTGATAGTGAAAAATGAATACGGCGATGGGGGTTGAAAGCGAAAAGCTGACGCGGAATGTTTCCCTTTCGACGATGGCTCATGTGAAACGATTTCTTTTTACGCGTGAAATTTCTTTCTTTTCCTCCTTGCTTGTTTCTTCCGCTTTACAAATGTTACGAACAAAATGTAAACCGTGAAATTGAAATTTTGGAAAATAATATTGGATTTAAATATTTTTCGTATTTATTTAAAATTGTGAAATTTTGTATGCATCGTAAATTATTTATTAGTTATAACAAGTTGAATATTTTTTATTTATTTAACGCGATGTCATGCTTAAAAAAAATTATTGATAAGAGAAATAATAGAATGATTATTAGAAGAGAGTTATAGAAATTTGGAATGGAAGAGATTTTTTTTAAATTAATAATAAAATTAAGATTATCGAACAAGAAGAATTAATTAAATTTAAAAATGTGACACTTTCGCTCCCTCAACGTCATAGATATACCTCAAATACATACTACGTTTTCTTCTAGTCAATATATACGTAGTTTTGGCTTTATATCAAATAGAGAGCATAGAATCTTGTGCACAGGAATTAATATAATTTTAGTACACTATGCATATATCGATCATTAGTGAAATCTATACGTTTAGGATTGTTATATTGTTTCTTAACGAAATTGCACATATCTATAATGCACGAGTGGTAATAATAAATTTAGGTTTCAATGAGTATAGCGTAGCTGTCTTGCTACGAAATTAAAATCGAATATCATTTTATTAAACAATACTAACCAATATAAATATATTAGTTCTAGATTAATAAACAGACATACAAAGAATTACACTATATCTTGCAGTCAAATTCGATATTCGAATATTTTACATACTAAAATGCATCAATTATGGCGCGATATTTCAAACAGCATTCTATCGATTTAATTCTTTTCCAATAAAATAAACATAAAGAAAGATGAAAAAAAGAAATAGAAAAAAATCTATTTGAGAGCTCGATAAAAAGACAGAATAGCTATTTAGAAATGACGTAGATAATCGAATTGCAAATAGTCAAACTCGATCGCGTGTCAAATACATTTAAACACAGCATGACGATTGTCTCTACCTGCCTGGCCTGTATATATCCCCCTTCTATAGCCTCTTTTTAGATCTTTCTAGGTGTAACCTGCTCACTTCTTGGATAACTGCCTGTTTACAGCTGTATGCATCGCTCTCTTTAAAAAAAAATATATATATATATATATATTTATATATATATACAATCGATATTCCTCCTTCTGTCTCTATGTATGTTTCCTGCGCCAATCTATATGAGAACGTGCATGCGTGTATATATATATACATATAGGATGGTGTACGCTGAAAATTCACTTGTTATTTGAAACGAGCTGTTTAATGGAATGCTCAAACGTCCCCTGTACGAACCAAGAGATGACCAAGTCGTCGTCAATATGCTTTTTAATTAAAATAGAAGAAAGAGATAAAAAAAATAAACGAAAGAGAAAAGAATGAAATATCGCTGGTGGAATGAAAATACGCAAACTTCTATTAATTTTTTTACTCTCGTTTCTATTTCCGTTACTGTTCTCTACTTTCCTTCTTTTTTCTTCTCTTAATTACTTTCTTTCTTCCTCTTTCTTTATTTATGTATTGAATTATACATCGATGCAATCGCACGCAGGCGGACGTTTCGTGCCTTAGATACGGCCTGATGAATGTAATCTATCGTTAATGTGTTACACACACCTTTTTTTCTTGATGTTTCGAATTATAGAGATGCCGAGCGTGTGGAGTCGACCGCTGTTTGCCGTCAGGGTATAAGACGTAGGTTCGTTCAAATGTTTGAATAACAGAAATCGCTTAAGATATCGTTCACGATCATGATACGCATTGCTTTATATTGTACACATTACATTATTTTGTTTCATTGGTAGCGGTTTGAGATTGCCTCGCGTTTTTGGACTCGTGATAAGGACATGTTTGAGAGAACGACGCCATTTCTTGGATCGATGATTCGAAACTGATTAATAAATAAAGATCAATTGGCGTCGTTGATTTTGTAACATTTTTAATCACGAGTTGTTTATATTATATCTGTTTATATTAATAATTAAAACAAGTCATATAATATATTTGAAGTATTCATATATTTAATTCTTTTGAATTATTTTTATCAATCGTTTTTAAATTTTAAATTTACAGAAATAAATTTTTCGAAGGTAATATTATATGTAATATGTTATCAAAGAATTAAATACACGAACAAGTATAAAGATCAGATGTTACAAAATAAATGTCACACTTTCACCTGCCTTTCCAATGAATTTAAACACCATCCACACTGCATGGATCCTCATTTATCACGTATTATTGACAACCGACCACGAAAATATTATTTAATTTACTGTAGATACGGTTATTAAACGCTTTAACATCATAATAAATCACAAATTTTTTTTCTTTTTATCAAATTTCATTTATTCGAGTGAAATTTTATTATGCACGTTTGTTTTAATTGATCGTATCCATGAATGAAGTAATAATTTTATTCACACATGGTCGAAAGTAAATATAATATTCTCTGTGCAATAAATTTTTTAACCAGTATTGATAAATCAATATTTAATTGTACCAATGATTCCATGTATCAATATCGTAATTGATTAAAATTTTAAACGTATTCCAAATTTTATGTATCCCAGCACTCACTCAATCGATATCAACACTTGTCTAATATTTTTAATGGATATGAGAAGAGGATATTAATCGTAGTTTTATTCATTGATATGACAATACCAATTTATCCAATATATAAACTTTTGATCGATTGGATGTAAAGCAATGGGAATCAACATTCTAAAAAATGAAATGTAGAATTCAATAAGAAATTACTCTCAATCAAATCAGTCACGTGTTACTTGTCAATGTTCGAAACACTTTTGATTTTGTCATCATATTCTCATTCAAGATTTCATTTTCTTTAGAGGAGATTCCATCACAGTTATTATTAAATTTACTTACAAGCTCCCTCTTAAAAGTATTAAAAATATTAAAATATAATATCTTTTGCTAATGTATATAACACCTGTACAAACTTTCTAATTATTGGTTTCGCTATTATTCTTTTGCTGTTCTTGGCGTCGAAGAAAACTTTTTATGTTTCGTGTAAAACGAATACAAATTTAAAAGTTAGATTCCTAATACGATCGATTAAGAAATACATTAACTATTAATATATACGATAATTTTAATATAATACGATAAATTTTATTAACAATTTTTTATATTCCAATTCCATACTCATTTCAATAAATAAAATTTTTTTAAAAGAATGTAATAAAGTTAACATGATCTTTAATTTATACATTGCCATTTCAATAAAATTGATATATCATAGAATATTTTTTTTATTTACTATAATTCATTACTTTGAAACAGTGTGTGCCTGAATAGCTTTCGCATACTGTCATTTTTCCTTTACTGTATTTTCTCTATTATACTTAAATATCCGTACACAATTTTGAATATATTATTAAGAATAATTTTATCGTTATGGATAAATAGTTTTAATTCATTTTTGGAACACAATAAATTGAATTGAAATTAAATTTGTTACGGTTGAACAGTTAACAAAACAATATTCAACGAATATCTATTGAATTCAATAGTGTGTTTCCATTCTTCTTTAATTAATATCGAACACGTGCAATAGAATTATAAAGTAATATTTTCCCAGTATGTTATTCGCGTGTTTCGTTAGAAAAAAAAAAAAAAAAACTTCCAAACAATAGTTTCCAAAAGTGGAACTGATTTTCAAAAGCCGATTAAATCATCCGTAAACCAAAACATTGCGAACAAAGAAACACGCCATATCATAATCCCCATTTTTCACCTAACACCCAATTGTCAAATTATTAACTGAAATAAAAAGTAAATAGATAAAAACGAAAAAAAAAAAAAAAATAGAACAGAAAAGGAAAAGAGAAATTGTATCCACAGCTTCACACGCACCCTGTCACGAATATACCACCCTATCACGATTCGAGATAGAGATAAGCATAAACTACGACTACCATTAATTTCTTCTTCGCCCCTGAGCAAAGCTCGTAAATATTCGTATCCGTTATATACGATCCAGCCATGCATTACTTATTTTTTTATTTTTTATCAAACCTATTCGAACACGACAACGAGTTAAATGTAACGGAAAAAAAAAAGAGGGGGTGGAATTACTAGCAGAAACGATTATTAGCGGAAGCTCGAGCGTAAATCTCTACTCTCTGTTCTCTCGTTCAAAGAAAAGAAAAAAGAAAAAAAGAAAAAAAAGAAATCGTAGCGAAGGTAGGAGTTGTCCACCGTGATTCCAACTTGTTTCGCGATCGTCTCTGATCTCGCCGCGTATCATTTAATCAGAACAATTTTCCTTAGGCGGCTGGCGGACGAGGACGATGAACTGTCGGAGGTACAACCGGACGCGGTGCCACCGGAAGTCCGCGAGTGGCTGGCTTCGACCTTTACCAGACAACTCGCGACTACGAGGCGGAAGGCAGACGAGAAGCCAAAGTTCCGCTCTGTCGCGCACGCTATTAGGGCGGGAATCTTTGTCGATCGGATTTACAGGCGGGTCACCAACACCGCGCTCATGCAGTTTCCTCAGGAAGTGGTTAAAGTGCTTAAGGTATATCGTTCGATACCTATCGCGTCAGATTTAAGCGCTAGAATGATTGATAGGGAGCGAATATTTGCGAAAAGCGATATCTTTTTACGAGGAAGGAATTTGAATTTATACTTGTAGATTAAAAATTTCACTTATAACTCACTTGTATATCGAAACTTTTGAATGAGATATTGATTTTTGAATGAAATTAAATTTTATATCTAATTTATGAAGCGTTGAATTTCTTCAGTTTAAGAAATATTAACTCTTAGATTGTAACTCTTATAACAGTTGCTATTGAATGTTTCAAATTGATGGGTTTTCATGAATGTATATCAAAAAATTATTTGATTTGAATTTTTAACTGTGAATTGAATTTTGTTTTTAACGAAGACTTTAGACGACTGGTCCTTTGACGTATTTTCACTGAATGAAGCCGCAATGGGAGCACCTGTGAAATATCTCGGTTATGATCTATTGAATCGGTATGGAATGATCCACAAATTCAAAGTTCCCGCCACGGTATTGGAGTGCTTTTTGGGAAGAGTCGAGGAGGGATACTGCAGGCATAGAAATCCGTATCATAACAATCTTCACGCAGCTGATGTTGCACAGACTATGCATTACATTTTATGTCAAACAGGACTTATGGTAAGTAAGTTAATTGGATAAAAAAAATTTTTTAGTTTAACTCTTCTTCCTTCATTCCGATATCTGAATTATAATATTATCGAAATATAAAGACTTGATGTTTTCATAGTGTTTAAAGGGGTGTGAAAATTACGAATGGATTCGCGATTTACTGATCTATTTTTTCTTGAAAACATGTATTACGTTTATTCAGGAATCGTATTTATCATTTGTCTGGAATTTGAAATAAATTAATGAAACGAGAGATGCAAATTATTATCTTCAGACTCGTAACAATTTCAAGTTTTTCTAAATAGAATTATTTAATCGAGTTTTAAGCAGTAAATTCAATATTGCTATCTTCTTTTCTATGATATTTACGTCGTTGAATTTGAGAATAATTGTGCTCTTCGTTCTCCGAATTATTTTATATTCGTTCATGTACGAAGATTACTCGTACAAGAACTCGTATCTCGACATTTTTATGAAATTTTAATTCAATTATAAGAAACAAAATCGAGAACGTAATTTTTCTTGAATATCGTTTTGCTTCGGTTCGAAGAATCGTTCCTTAAATTTTTAAACATCTGTCTAATTCTTCATTAATTTTAACTTCATTAAAAATGATTATTTATCAAACTTCCATTACTTGTATATACTTCCATCACTTATATAGTTCAAGCCTAAAAACCTTATCAATTCACGCTCGACGTGAACAACTTCATCAAATAATTTTCCTACCACGAAATTGGAACCAAACTATCGAACAGTTTAAAAGTAACCTGGAACACTTGTGCCAATCAATCGAGTATTTGCGCTTAAAACGAACAAATCCCACGTGTCACAAGTCAGAAATGAATTTCGGTTCGCTCGATTCCCCTTTTCAATCCCTTCCGTTGGAAATTGTTCATTTACAGGGAATTATATATACGCGCAAACGTTTGCTTGTTTGCAGAATTGGCTGACCGACCTGGAGATTTTCGCCACGCTGGTTGCGGCGATTATTCACGACTACGAGCACACTGGGACCACAAACAATTTCCACGTAATGTCCGGCAGCGATACAGCCCTACTCTACAACGATCGGGCCGTTCTCGAAAATCACCACATCTCCGCGAGTTTCCGGTACGTAGGGAATAATGTTGTCACGCGTGTGTATTTCTACCTCCTCTTCATGATTGCCCGCCATTTTCGTTTCAATTTGCGAACCGTTATTCCCAGGAACGCAGAGTTTCTGGTCACTCGTAAATCTTGCTATTGAAATGGTAATTGATGGGCAACATGATGCGCGAAACGTTAACCCTTTGCGGTTTAAATTCCACTGTTTGTATCCACAATTTGGATACTTGGTTTTGATTGATTTACGTGACGTTTGGCGGTTTTGGTGTAATGTTATACGATTTATCATTGATTATACTATTTAAAACATATTAAATATATTTCATGTTAAATAGTAATATAAAAATTGATATAAAAATCAAAAGATTTTAAAAGTGCTACAAAAAAAATTCAAAAATGTATGATAAAATACACGTATTCTGACGAAGAGTTAATCTAAAACCTACAATCTAAGAAATCAAGATTCTGTTTTTCAGAATTATGAGAGAGGACGAGTGCAATATATTGCAAAATCTATCGAGGGAGGAATTCCGTGAATTTCGTTCACTGGTGATCGATATGGTGCTCGCGACCGACATGAGCTTTCATTTCCAACAACTGAAGAACATGAAAAATATTCTTAGCTTAGCAGAGCCTAGCGTAGACAAAAGCAAGGCTGTCAGTCTGGTTCTTCATTGTTGCGACATCTCGCATCCGGCCAAAAGATGGGACCTTCATCATAGGTAGAATTTTTGTTCGATTTTTAAAGAATTAAACAACTGTTGCATTGAAAATTATTCAGACGACATTTCATTTTTATCGAAATAAATTCTTTAGTTCTTATTGAAAATATTAATATCATCATATTAATGTGTCCATTCCGATTGAAATTAGAGATACAAGATATTCCAAGATTTGATTTGATTTTGATTGTTTTACAAAAAAAATATCTTCTATTTTCTTTTATTCTACTTCCTTTTATTATTTCTTAAATATTTTATTTTCAAAATGAAAAATATTCTTTCTTATTCCATTTTTTCTTTTTTTGGGACTATTCAATTCATTTCTAAAAATCATTTCCTATCTTGGAATCAAATCATTCTTATTTTTTTAAGTGCAACGTTCTATTAAGTTCAATCTCGTTCTTTTCATTTGTCCAAACATCCATCTGACTTTAATTCCTTCCTTATCAAAATCTCTTTAAACAATTCTATTAATGATTTCATTCTTAAACAAAATTCCATCTTTTTCACGCTTCCCTCTCATTTAATTGCCTTCCCTCTCATTATTAAACACGATTTCATAAAAAAATTTAAACCTGATCGATAGAAAGCTGTAATGTTGTTGTTCCTTTCTACTCAGATGGACAATGCAACTGTTGGAAGAATTTTTCCGCCAAGGGGATAAGGAAAAGGCACTTGGATTGCCGTTTTCTCCGCTGTGCGATCGTAACAATACCCTGGTGGCTGAATCGCAAATAGGATTCATCGAGTTTATCGTCGAGCCCAGCATGCAGGTGTGCAGCGATATGTTGGAGACAGTTCTCACACCGTTGAACGTAAAGGAGAGCGTGGACGAATCGAATAACGGTGAGCGAGAAATTCGTGTCACACTTTAATACGTTTCACGTGCTACATCTTGCGATCTTATTCAAATGACGAACAATCCATAGGATCGGGTGGCGAAAGCAGAAGGTTTAAGATTGGGAAACCATGGATTCCATGTCTTGCGGAGAACAAGAGAATCTGGAAGGAGCAAGCCGTTCGAGGTATTTGGAATAAAATTCTTGTTCGATGCTTGAATTCGATATTGCGATATTGAAAAAAAATATTTACGATATTTTGATAAAAGATGATCAAGTTTGATCTTCGTTTATGAATTTGAATTGGGATTAATAATTGTTATACGATAGTTTTTGTCAAATATTTTGTGAACTTGCTTTGAATTCCTTTGAATATGAAATTCTCCTCGTGGAATATTTGAGATGTATGAAAAAAATGTTTTTTCATTTTTCACTTTAAATTTGTAAAAAAAAAAAAAAATTATGAAACAAAACTTTGTTTTGAACGAATAATATGTATAATGATAATAGTGATAATTTAAAATATTTTTCTACAGTTCATGATTTTAAATTCAAGATTTTCTTGTTTCTAATAATATTATTTGACAAAAATAACATATGAATATTAATTTATCATTATTATATTAGAAGTTCAAAGAAGTGAACTATTTAAAAATTTACTTTATCATTACGTTTACTTCTTGTATGTATGTACTATTTTTCTTTTGAACCTCTTAAATGAACGGTATAATTCTAATTTCGTTAATCAGACGCTGAAGCAAGGGCGCAGAAGGAACAAGAGCAAAAGGCAAGCAGTGACAACCGTGAGGATAGCGATACGGCACAGCCAGCATCTGAGGAATGAAAAATTCGGCGAGCCATTATATTTTTCAAAAACATATGTAATTTTAGGCTACGAAGAAGCTCGTGATCTTATACACCGAATGATATCCAGTGACACGTGTAAATGAATCGCGAGACGGATAAAATAGCGACCTCTATTGACGATCGGGTAAACGCGCGAAAATTCGAACGTATAATTAAGAAAAATATTCCCACGATTATTTATACCGTTTGTTTATCACTATATTTCACGTTTTTATCGTTCGACCAAATTATCGATGTCCTTTCTCTATGTCGATTACCTTTCCAATTCTTGGAAACATCATCTTGATTTTTTCTCGCGACTCAATATATGCATGGTCGACGTTCTATTCTCATATCTTCGTTGAGAAATATTCGCGATTTGTAAATATATGCTTCAAAATTTTTCTTATTCTACGCTATTATCGAGCAATCGATTGATAGATTACTTTTTCATTAAGCTTTGAATTAACGCCTTGATATTAATGATAAAATGTAGTGATACTAGATGGATTTTATTATTTAAATAATGTATAATATAATGAATGATATATAATTTTTTTCAAAGATAATTTTTTTGACAATTTTTTATTTTTTCAATTATTTGAATAGTATTTTTAAATTTTAATTTATTTATTATTTATTATAATTTTTAAATTTAATTTATTATAATTTTTATTATTTGATTTAAAATTTAATATTCTAAGAACACGATTCTAATAAATAATGAAATCTTGGAAAAATATGATAAAAGAAATATCGATTTTTTTTTTTTTTTTGTAATGGTTCTGAATGAAAAGGTCTTCTCATAAGATGGGATTATCTATTTTTCGTTTCTGTTCAATGAAGATAAAAATTAATGTTTAATTTTCAATTGAATGAAAAGTCAATGAAAAATTCATTTGACTAATATGGGTCATATAGTTGAATTATATATAATATAAAATGACGTGACTCGTTATATTCTTCATACAATTTGCATACTATATAAGGATCGCGATTCGTGTGATCGCTGAGTCACATCAATTTTTAATAATCGATACTCGATTTTGATCGTCCCATCGAACATAACTCATGTAGATATATTTTGATTGAAGATAAAACGTACATTAGATGCTTTATATCAACATAATAAGATACTATTAAGATACTGAAGTCTTATCTTCTTTTTTTCTTGCAGATTCATTTCCTTTTCACATTTCATAGTCATATAAAAAAAGAGATAAAATATAATTCCACAAGATTTGAACTAAATAAATTAGAATAATATTTTTTACTATTTTATTCTTATCATTTTTTTTTATTATTTTTACCCTTATATTCAAATAAATCAAATTTTAATTATTTATTACTAAAGTAAATATACAGAACCATTACAAATCAAATCAAATAAATACGAATGTATTAAATATATTGATTTAATGAAATTATATTTTGATAATTAATTATAAACGATATAAAATAAAAACAAATTATACAAAAAATGAAAATACAAGCAATGTATCAAAAAAAAAAAAAAAGGATAATCATCAAGGCGTTACTTTCTCAGCTTCTTAATTTACGCGTAAATATTACTATCTAAACTATCTAAAATGTAGAAATAATTGGTCGAGTTTCCATCATAAGCGTAGCCTAAAGTTACTAGCCGCGATAGGTGGCGAGAATCGAGCACACATTACGTATTATAGAAGAAAAATGCAAAATGAAATCGTAACGTACTTAGTGCACAATTGTCCATACGCGATTAAGTGCTAGCGAATATGAAAGGACGCTAACATGTCAAAAGGATTTCCATAGCAATTCCATCACATTGGAAACGCTGTCTTTGTCCGTACCTGTTTTTTCTTACAATTAGTGTGTAACTACGAGCATACGTTTTTTCATAGGAACGAAGACTTTCATCTTTGAGAAAAGAGAGAGAGAGAAAAAAAAAATAAATAAAATAAAAATTGAATTAGATCGTATAACGAGCCACGCGAAATAACAATTACTCATCATTCTCATTTTCTTATAGAAATTCTCGAAATTTATAGTTTATTATATTTTTTTAAGAAAGATTTGATTCAATCTGTTCTTTATAAATAACTCTACGTTTATACAAAAAACGTTTATACAAACTTATCAATCTGATTTTTTTTTATGGAAATTTCTAATTTATACCTTTTTAAGAGAATAATCATAGATTCCGACTTATTTTAAACTTTTACTTATAAACAAGTAAGTTTATAATCGTTAATGTTTTGCACACAATATTAGGGTATTTTAGAGAAGTTATTTTAATTATTTGCAAAATAATTATCAAATAAAAATATAAATAAAATATTAATATATCGCTTGAAATTCTTTTCTACAGCTAATTAATATAGCACATGTTTCACCATTTGATGAAATAAAATCTTAAAATAAGCAATATTTTCATGAATACCCTAATATTTGATCAAAACATTTTTCTCGAAGCTTTATCAAGAAAATTGATCGAATCATTAGCACGTAGTTTGCAGAATCGATAGACGCAGCTGGCCGTCGCACAAGTGTCGAATTCGAGGCGAGGCTTCCGCGAAAAGAGCGTAATGTTCTTCTCGTTGAAACATCGTGAAATTGAAAGTCTTCGCGCTATATCATTTTTAAATGCCCTCGCGCGATTCAGGTTTCCGCGAAACTTACACTTGCTTTCTCGAAACTTCGACCGACTGGCACGAAAAAAGTTGCTTCTTTTCCGAGAAAGTCCGATTTCTCTGGTTCGACTCGTGAGATTCGCTTCAAAGTGTTCCCATTGAAGGGAAAATTTCAGATTCCTTACAAAATTATTTCGAATTTCATTTCAATTAAAAATGAATCGCTGCTTTTTTGATTCGATTTTTGAAAAAATATTTCTTTTTGTAGCTTTTTAAGATACATTTCCCGAAATTAAAGAAAAAATGAAATAGATATCGTTCAATTATTACGCTTAACGATAGAATGAAGATTTTTTTATCTTTGAAATTTTTTAAAATTCAGATGCTTTTGAGAAAATTAATATTTATTTTTATTAAAATTATTTGTTTGAAATAGTAACATATTTAATAATTTTTTATTATATCTTTTTTCATTTTTAAATACAACTCTCAACGTTCTACTGCAAATTAGATTTTGAGATTTTATTAAACAAATCTCGTTTCATAATTTAACTGCTTTAAGAAGCTTCTTTACATCTTATTATCTTCGCTTTGGTCTCTTTTGGTTTCATTTAATTACAAACAAGTAGATTATTCACGGAAGATTTATTTGAAAGAAAATGAATCTTAACAGAATTTCGGAAAATTATATTAATATCATTACAGCTATAAAATTATATTATAATCTCTTTTCATAACCGATAATTTTTAAGAAAACGTTATCAAAATTAAACGCGATTAAAAAATATTTTATCTGATGAATCAATATAAAAGCTACTTAAGATATTGTAGAGGAACGAAATTCTATAGAGAATTTTCGTTACATATACTTTCGTTACATATGGATTTTCGATAATCCTACATAATTTTGATTATATAAAATAATTTCAAAAAATATCATAAAAATTATCCACGTAAAAATAAAATCTGAATAAAAATATCATTTTTGAAATTTAATTTATTGAATAAATGGAATATTCGAAGAGAAGGAATAAAAATCGAATCAACAACAAGAAAGCAGACGAATATCGAATCGAGAAGAATCGGATTCTAGCTGTCTGAATTAGATCCACAGGGATATAACGTCGTTGTACATACTTTAGATGTGTATTCGTATACACAAGGTGCAGCTTTAATGTATGTAAATGTAATGTAAAAGAAATATCATTAGCGTTTATTTAACGTGTGTGCTACGTTTGTGTACATGTATATATATACGTATAAAAACAGTATGGGGACGGAATAGATGCGTGCCTGTGCAATTCAGGCAAAGAAACATCGCGAGAAAATGAAAATAGCGAACGTATAGATATAATTTGAACGTTCGATCGAACATATCGAGGAATCGTTTTATCCTGTTAACTCCGACCGATTGAACAATGAGTCCAAAATGTTAATTCTATGGAAAATCGAAACTCGTTACGTTTGTCGAAAAGGATAAAAGTGTAAAGTGTCGTAAATTTGGCGTGCTCGAAACGCTATCTTATTTGTAAGAAATATAAAGGATATTTAGGATAAAATCTCTAGCTCGAAGGTTAAACATATCCGTCCTGTATTTATTTTATTTCTCTCCTTCGCGTACGTGTCGTGTTTTAATGATACATTATTCGATATGCTACTCGATATGGATGAGAAATTATATTTAAATTAGGTTTTGTCGTATTTTATTTAAACTAAAGACAAAACGAAGAATTTTAATTAACGATTATCATTCAATTATGATTCAATCATATTTATTTTAGCAATGATGTGAGAAAATGTTATGATCGATTAAATTATTTTAATCTTTTATTTGAATCAATTTCAAATTTGTTTTTTTTTTCACGATATTGGTAAAATTATCCTTGTATAGAGTATAGATTCAATATTAAAATTCATAATATTAATATTAAATTTTTATTATATAGTATTAATATTAAATACTATATTATAAAAAAACATTTCTATGCGATACAAATACTATATACTAATCAAAATTTATATATTATATTTTATTTTAATTATAATTAAAATTTCTGTTTGATAAATTGTTTCAATTTTTATATTTATTCAAACACAAAATATCAAATAAAATAAATAATTATTTGAATTGAAAACAATATCTATTCAAATAAAACGATATAAATAGTTATTGTTTATATATAAATTATGATATAAATAAATATCCTTTAAAACTTCGATTTAATTTCACGAAGTCTTTTTTTGAGATAAATTAAAAAAAAAAAAAATATCAAAATCTCATCCATACGATTAAATCTATTTCTTATTAAAACAAACAAAAGATCAAAGTATCACAATAATCGTGATCTATTCTAACGTCCCAAAAACACGACTCGTACGTTGTTTAAGTGCGAGTAAGTTAATTGTACATATGAAAAAAAAAAAAAAAAAAAAGAAAGAAATTGTGGGCGAGATCACTTGCCTGTTCGCAATCAGATGAGCATTCGCGCGTTTTCGTTAGGGCGATTTCTCAAGTAAGACTGTGCACAAAGTTCGAATTCGTTGCTGATCGTTTCGAAAGCCAAGCACGCTCGCGCGATTTCGATGTGTTGCACGCTCGTATTCGTCGTGACGTCAACGCGACCACGCACTTGCCATTTTTGCATTACGTGCCAAGCACGAATTTGTTTTCCTTCCTGCAGCGGACGAGGGGCCAAAACGCGTGATAGAATTTAAAGAAAAAGGAAAAATGATAAAAAAAAAAAAAAAAAAAAGACAAACACATTTGGAATCAAGCTTGTACAAAAAGAATACTTCAATAAGAAACGCGCGAGCGAAGATGCCATCTAGAATACGCGTCTACGAACTAGATGCTTTCGATTTTTGATATTTATATGTTAATATTAGGAAGAAATATG